TCAAAAACTCACTGATGCTGTAAAATGCCCCATTTAGTAAGTGGCCCTTAATTATACCTTTATAGGCTTTAAGTTCCAAGTCTCTTACCTTTGTGGGAAGATAATTCAAAAGTTTTATTGAATACTAGTTGAAGCCATAGGATGTTCTACATAATCTTAGAGGTAAAGGACAAATGTTTAAGTTATTTTTTGTACTATATGTATTAGACTGGGCCAAAAAGAACTCCCAAACTATTGACTTTAACAAAATTAACATAGAAATATGTTTTTAAGAAAATTAAACGCTCTACAAAAAAGGTAAAAATGAATTTTCCGTCAGTTCAACAGTTTCCTTAAAATCATGCCTTAAAATGTTTTATAGTTTTACATTTTGATCTTTTAACTTTGGAATTTTGTAATTCATGTAAAAATCAGTACCCAGAAAAAAAACGATAAATATTCTTATGGTAAATCAAATGCTTTACAAAAAAGCCTCTTAACATTTTTGGCTAAATTCACTCAATCAAAAGTTATTCAAGTTTTCTAAAGAAAATAGCTTTAAAAAGCGAAAGAATTCGAATGTGTTATTTTTTATTTAATTTTCAGTTGTTTTATCAATAACTTAAAGATTATCATTGATAAAAGAATTCAATTTTTTAACTGACCCAAAAAAAATCTAGAGCGGAAAAAACAGGAATTTCGTTTTGACTTTTGATAGAGTGAATTTAGCCAAAAATGTTAGGAAACTTTTTTTGTAGAGCATTTGATTTCCCATTTCCGGGTACTAATTTTTACATAAATTACAAAAGATAAAAAGTTAAAAGATCAAATTGTAAAACTATACCAATTTTTAAGGCATGATTGTAAGAAAACGGTCCATCTGACGGGAAATTCCAACCACACCTTTTTTGAAGAGCATTCAAATTTATTCAAAAAAATACGCTTAAGACAAGTTTATAAAACTCAATGGTTTGGGAGTTCTGAGACAAAAACTCGCTCAGGAAAAAAATCTTAAATTGCCATGATAGACCTCTTAATATTAATATTATGCACTCAAACTTTCACCATAATTTTTTTTTGTCACCCCAAACAATATTTTTGATATACTTTACAAAACAAAAGATGATTTTTTTAGTCCAGTCTAATATGTATATATACATATATATATATATATATATTAGGGTGATTCATTTCCGCAAAGTTTTTTTTTTTCGGTGCTCAAGCAAAATATTAATCTACCTATAGAAAAAAAATTTTCACCAAGGTAGAGCTCTTAATATCAATTTTAAGTACTTGCAGTTTAAATTTAAAGTTTTCCCATTTAAAATGCATGTAAAAAAATGTTTTTTTTTCAAATTTCTAATGCTCGCCCGCTTTTTACAATATTGTGAATCGGTTTTATGAACCTTATAGGGAATTTCACGCTCTTCAAAATTGTCTGTGTTTTTTGTGTAACTCGTAGTGGTTCGCCAGTAGGCGTCATCAAAGTTCAATTTTTTGAATGAACATTTTTTTTTGCAATTTTTTTTTAACAATTCGCAAAAAATAGTGAAAAAAAGAGCTGAATCGTAAAAAATAGTCTTTTAACAAATATTTGATGAATTTACGGCCATTTTTATATCTTAAAACGTAAGTAATTGATAAATATTAACCAACTATGCTATTTAAATTAAACTTTCTTATTTACTATCGATATAATTCTCTACAACAATAACTTTTTCAGAGTTATTATGATTTCTGACTAAAAATAAATATAAACATAACACATCAATTCATAAAAAAACAACAAAACTTTAATCAAAACAAATAACAGATTACATTATTAGATAATATATTGCAAATTTAATAAAAATCTCAATAGTCATAAGTTGATAAATAATAAATTATTTCGACTTTTATACAAAGCAAATTAAGATTTTATTTTATGACGTAACTAACGTGCCCTTAACATGTATACAGGTACAGGGTGGTCCACGTAAGGTGACCCATATACTTATCTCAGAAACTACTGGAGTCACAAAAAAATTGTAAGGAAGAAATATTGACGAAGTAAAAAATATTTTTAAAATATTATATTTTCATTTATACAGGGTGTTCGGTTTTCCTTGGGACGATACCTACTTTCTTATTTTCAATGGAACACCCTGTATTTTTTTGCATTTTTGGATTCTTCCCACTCTTTTAGGTATACTTTGTAAATATATTAAATAAGAAAATGTTAATACTTTTTGAGTAAAATTAAGATTTATTAAAATTTCTCTAAATGTAGACACTCGCTAAAAGTTAAAAATAACCAACTAAAAGTTAATATTTTTTATATTATGTAGTATCCATCTCTTTAATAATAAGTAAGCTATAAGTTAATTATTATATTTTTTGGAAAATATCATACAGGGTGTTTTCTATGTCCCGTTGAAAATAGCGATTTTAAAAGTTTAAAATCTTGTTTTTCTTCAATGGAACACCCTATATATTTTTGCATAATAGAGTAATTGCATCAAAAATGAAAATCCCTAAAAACCTTTTTATTGTAATCTAGAGGTAAAAACACATTGCGAAAATATTTTTTTATATTCCAAAAGTTCAACCCGGCCCCAAAATATCAAATTGAAAAAAAGGTACTTTTCAAACGTTCCGAACTCCCGCCATATTGCATGACGTCATAAGCTTCACCAGCTGTCAGAAATCAAGATGTCAACAAATAATAAACACCGATAAAGTTTATGTTTAACATGGAAAACGCGAAACCAAAAATTGGTTGTAAATATTGTTTTGTGCCTTGTACAAATACAACCTGGAAAACTCCTGGGAAAAGGTTTATCACCGTGCCAAAAGGGAAAATAAGGATAAAGTGGATTAAAATAGCTCGGCGCGATATCAAAACATCGTCACCATTTTATTGCTCATTTTAAGGATCATTTTAATGTAAGTAAAATAAAATGTCGTTTACTAGGTATATGGTTTGAACAGGTATGTTAAATATTAATAAATTCAAGAAAATACGGCTGAGCCGTAACTACTCTCAGTGTAGGGTCATAAACTTTGCTTTTGATAATTGAAGGGACAACTTTCCCAGGAGTTTTCCAGGTTGTATTTGTACAACAAGGCACAAAACAATATTTACAACCAATTTTTGGTTTCGCGTTTTCCATGTTAAACATAAACTTTATCGGTGTTTATTATTTGTTGACATCTTGATTTCTGACAGCTGGTGAAGCTTATGACGTCATGCAATATGGCGGGAGTTCGGAACGTTTGAAAAGTACCTTTTTTTCAATTTGATATTTTGGGGCCGGGTTGAACTTTTGGAATATAAAAAAATATTTTTGCAATGTGTTTTTACCTCTAGATTACATTAAAAAGGTTTTTAGGGATTTTCATTTTTGATGCAATTACTCTATTGGATAGAATAAGTAATTACCTTTCATTTTATATATATATGTCCTATACCTAAACCTAACTTTGTTCTCGGACTAATCACTAAATACAACAAACAATACATTTTGGGGTTAAGTATAACATAAAGCATCAAACCCGTTTACAAAGACAATAGAGTCGCTAACGTCATACTAATTAACTAGACCAATCATAAAATTGTAACAGTTGCTTTCCCAATCAAATAATTATCATTATTTTTTTACTTATGTTCGAATATGCCATCAAAATATTATTTAGTGCAATTATTTAAATATATTTATATTTGCTATAGCAATTTCTACTTATACAATATTAAAGCAAATGAAGTTGACAATAAAAACAATTTACTTTTTCGTTAATTTAAGAATTTTGTTAAAAAAATTGAATAACCTTCATTTATATTTATTGCTATATTACGGAAATGTTGAAAAATTGCAGAATCTAAGTTGCAATTGTATATTTGTTGTTTTTTTATAAATTAATGTGTTTTTTTATATTTATTATAAGTCAAAAATCATAATAACTCTGGAAAAGTTATTGTTGTAGAGAATTATATCGATAGTAAATAAGAAAGTTTAATTTAAATAGCATAATTGGTTAATATTTATCAATTACTTACGTTTTAAGATATAAAAATGGCCGTAAATTCATCAAATATTTGTTAAAAGACTATTTTTTACGATTCCGTTTTTTTTTTTCACTATTTTTTGCGAATTGTTAAAAAAATTTCAAAAAAAAATGTTCATTAAAAAAATTAAACTTTGATGACTTCTACTGGCGAACCACTACGAGTTACACAAAAAAACACAAAGACAATTTTGAAGAGCGTGAAATTCTCTATAAGGTCCATAAAACCGATTCACAATATTGTAAAGAGCGGGCGAGCATTAGAAATTTGAAAAAAAAACATTTTTTTTACATGCATTTTAAATGGGAAAACTTTAAATTTAAACTGCAAGTACTTAAAATTGATATTAAGAGCTCTACCTTGGTGAAATTTTTTTTTCTATAGGTAGATTAATATTTTGCTTGAGCGCCGAGAAAAAAAAAGTTTTTTGCGGAAATTAATCACCCTAATGTATATGTATATTGCATTTCTATTACTTAAGAATTTGTATCGTAATAAATATGTGTATTACAATGGATCTGACTAGTTTAGGTAGGAATTTCTATAACATTTTGTAATAATTATCATTTAATAAAGTTACGATTTTCACTCACATACATTAATTCGTTTATAATAATATTTTTAATTAATTTTAAAAAATGTTGAACAACGCAGGTGAATTTTGTTTTTATATACATAATATATTGCACATAAATTGGTTGCCCTGTGGGTTCATAGTAAAATTACAAAAATTATAATGTATTATAAATTATATTTAAATAGTTTTAAATCATACGGACTTTATTACAGTATATTTTTTATTTATTTTATTATTACCAATTATTTATTATTATATTTTGGTTAAGCTTATTATTTTTATAATAATAAAATATCTTCAACAAAATATTTAATAATATAAGAACTTTAAGTATTCAAATACGAGATTTTTTACTCAAGAATAATCAAAATCAATTGATGAAATTTGTTAGGTACTTACGTTATATCGCACACGGGGATCGACAATAAGCTGCTTGGCCAAGTTGGGACTGGATCCGCCGCGCAATGGCGTACGCCCGGACGCACCAGACCCTTGCAGAAGATCCGGTTTGTCGACTTCCGGTCCCCCGAACTCCTGCAACTGTTGCAGCCAGCAACAGAGCATCGCTTCAATGCCTTCATCGACCTGAAATTATAAAAATAGACGGTTTTTATGCGAACAATATTGTTTATTTAATAAAATAATGCACGCATTATGGCATTTTCTTCTAAAATTAAATTATATTATGGGTTTATTTTATTCCCAAGCTAATGGATAATGGCTTTTATGATCCTCTTTAATAAAATTATAAAAAAATGCTAGAGCCTAATGTTCAATAAAAATCTATCTACACACTTTACATTTACATTATAAGAAATTAGAAATATATTCTCTAAAGATGAATTATTCAAAAATGACTAATTTAATAGTTAGTCGCTGCTTTTTCACTTGTAACATGGTAAACCAGTCATATTCCCATAAAATTGAAAAAATACGAAAATGTAATAATTTTGCATTTTTTTGACATAATATAGCCCTTTGTACATTTTTATTTACACTATTATCGGGTCTTGATTTTATTAGTTTGTAAAGAAAACATTTGCTTATAGCTATAGCTATAGCTACATTGGGTTACGTTGACCAAAAAATTACGAAGCTGAAAACCTTGTGGTGCGGCCATGTTTTCTTCTTCTTCTTCTTCGGTATGCTTAATCGAACCAAAAAAAAACACTCAATATAAAAATAATAAGTTTTAAGAAAACATTTCTTTGAGATTAACCTCTCACAAAATTAACTAGCATAGCATATATCGTATTAATGCAGATACGATTTTAAATATAAGTAATCTGCTTAAACAGTAGAAAATATATTAGATAGCTACATGGAAAAATGTTCAGTCTTTTGTTCATTTACTCACATGAGTTTGCTTTAATACTCATACTCGAAAAATTCGCGTTCTGATTATTTCAGGTGCTGATGAAACATTAGATACTGGTTGGAATGATGACACTACCGGTAGGTTTTGTGAAATTGACATATTTCCATCTGAGGACTCTTCGTCAGAATGTGGATTAAATTCCGATTCAGATTGAGGATGCGTACCTACTTGCCTCAGACAAACTGTCAGAATCAGATTCCGGTACATTTCCATGACCATTCGGTGCCCTTCGAAGGTAATTTACATGGAATGCAATAATTTTTGTGTTTCGTATTTCGTAAACTATGTTAGATCGATTTCTAACAATTTTCTGAGTGTCTCAGTTCTGGTGCCATAACCTTTTGTTTAACCTCAAATGTTTATGATTTTTATTCCAATGGAAACTAAGGTAAAGAAAGTTATTACTGTCTTACAGTGAATACCAATGTTTTCACTGTCTTGAAAAACACTTGTTATTTGCCCAATTATCATTCCCATTTTTTCAATGCGGCCTATATTCAATTTAATGATTGCTAAAATTCAGACCAACGCGCCAGGGCATCCCCTGCCACACCACACATCGGCAACCTGCAATCGCGTACGTGCCTATAGTTAAATGTGGTCAACTGATTAATCGGTATTTCTGGTGACGCCGATTGAAGTAAGTGTATGGGTTATCTCTGAATGGGGTAGTGTTTGGTTGTTTGTTATATACTAATTTTTTGGAGGTTGTTTTTTAATTGTATGTCCGCCATGCTTTATCCAGTAATTTAATTACTCCATTATATCTAAATAATAACAAAAAGGTAAATGTGTACTCATACATCAAAAATTGCAATTTAAAACAACGATAAAGGAAATAGCAACAAAAAACCTTCATCAAATAAAGAAGCAACTACCGCATCTGCAAATGTAAACAGTGCAGTGAAAGACGGATTTACCACAGAGTCATTCCAAATAAAAACACCAAATGGGGTGCGCTGCGTGATTTTTTATTTTGATGAAAAAATTTGAGGATGATCTTTTAGGTGTCAAATATGAAAATCCGTTGCCGTTTTAATTTTTTGTTGCTTTACTTTTATTTGGCACCCCTTAGAAGTCTGAAATAATGTCAATTTCTTACTCTCTTATAGTGGACCAGAACTTTTTTTCTGTGACAAATATTGAAATAATTTTAATTTTGTTATACTGTCCAGTAAGTGTGTTTTCGATATAAATTATTTTTATCCAATTAGTTAATCTCATAAAAGAATGGTAAACCACTAAAGATTCATGATAATTTGCCAATTTTTGTGATTTTTGTCTGGCTCCTGTGCCTATTCTACTGAATTTAGAAGGTTCATTTTTTCTCAGGTATAAAGTACTTATACAATAGAAAACGTAACTATTATTTTAAGTTTCTAGACTATCAATTTCTTTATTAAAAAAATTATTGAAAATTGATAATTCTCAAAATTAGCCAATTTTGCCCTCAGAAATCATTATGTTGAGGAAAAAATAAAAATCTGAAACTTTCAGGAAATGTAGTCCCCACCTTCATCTTTTCAGTCCAGTTAGTCTTGTTTTGTTATTTTTATTCCTTTAAAAGATATATTAATTTTTTTAATGGCCGTTTAGTAGCGATATTGTTAGTTTTATTTATAATTCAAAATTTAGATGGCTTTCATGTTTGATGGAGAAGTGTCAGAACTGTCAAAAATATTTCATAAATATTATTTGTGCGTATTTCTTTGGTAAATTTTTTATATAACATAATATGTAATATTATGTTATATATAAAACTTTTTAAAATCACCAAAGGAATACCACAAATAATAATTATAAAATATTTTTCAGAGTTCTGATATTTTTGGTAGTTATGTTATATTTTATGTATTGAAAAATCATATATATATATATATATATATATATATATGATTATATATTATATACATTATAATGAAGTATTTAATTGGCTAATTGGTGTTTAAAGAAGAAGAATGTAAAAAATATATTTAAGATCCTTATGGTTTATAATATCGTTAAGTATAATAAGTGAAATTAATAAAGAGTTAATTTAAACGTATAAAAAATGCGTTAACACGTTGATGGACACAGACAAATTTTTGGCGGGACCTGCTGCGTCACTTGAATAATTCATACACCTTTTATCCTATCATCAAAAATTTTTACCGGTAACTTGATGATGCCTTTAGGGCTGTATATGGCCTTTAAAAAAGTTTGACGGCTATAGCCGTCATGTCCAACTATGAGATTTTTTTCAAAAAAAAAAGGTGTGGTGGGTCATGACGGTCATAACCGTCCATGTTTTTTTCATTTTTACTTATCCTTTATGGTAGTATAAAGTCACTGGTGAACAAATTATACTTTAATAATGACAAAATGTCTAGATTCAAATTTAAATATTTATTTTTAATCTATAAATACTTATAATTATAATTTATAAATTATAAAATACCTATAAATAATATAAAATTTATTTTATAAAAAGAAATTGCGTTTTTAGGACAAGAAAAAACATTTTAACGATAAAAATATAGTTATAGAAGTTATAGTGATAAAAAATAATATAATTGTTCAAAAACTTATACTTACTAGTTTTGTTACATCAAAATTTTACTCCACCTCACAACAATCAAATTTTTACTCCACCTAACAACAATCGGTCACAAAAACGGCCGAATTTTAGGTTTAAAATCGCTCTTAACAGATACTCATAAAAATTAATTTGCAACCAACTACATTCTGCAACCCAAAATACATGAGGTCTCATGGGACACATATGTCAGAGCTTCATATGGATCTCATTATTAATGCGCCTGCATATGCAGGCTTGTCATAAATCAGCTAGACTGCTATAGCCGTCGTGTCATATTGGACCTGAAGGCATTTGCAGTCCTGTCCATGAACGTGTTAAGCAGTTTTTTGTCGGTTTCTTTTACAATTTAAACCAAGTTAGTCTTGTTCTATTATTCTATTATTTTGATCCCTTTAGTAAGGCACTAAATAGTTAAAAGTTAAATGTATGTATTTTAAATGTTAGTGTTGGAAAAAATTTACACAATCTGTAAATACTTCTTTAAATTTTAGTTTTTAGGTAACTGGTTAAAATAAAACATGTTATAATAAAGGGGTTTATTTAGAATATTTTTTTGTTTTTTGCTTATTTTTAACAATTTAAAACTTCTCAGAACTTAAATATTTTCTATAAGAAAGAGGTACAAAATTATGATATGTTCTTGCATTTTTAATTGCGATTAAATTCATGAATCTCGAACACTCCGTCATTTTGTACAATTGTAAACTTGCAAACTTTTTGAAATCACAATTTAAATACAAACAAATAAAATTTATGAAATATTTTTGACAGCTCTGACATTTCTCTACCAAACATGAATTGACAAAGTCAAAGCCATCTAAATTTTAAGTTATAAATAAAACTAACAATATCGCTACTAAACGGGCATTAAAAAAATTAATATATCTTTTAAAGGAATAAAAATAACAAAACAAGACTAACTGGACTGAAAAGATGAAGGTGGGGACTACATTTCCTGAAAGTTTCAGATTTTTATTTTTTCCTCAACATAATGATTTATGAGGGCAAAATTGACTAATTTGAAGAATTATCAAGTTTCAATTATTTTTTTAATAAAGAAAATTAAAGTCTAGAAACTTAAAATAATAGTTAAGTTTTCTATTGTTTAAGTTCTTGATACCTGACAAAAATCACAAAAATTGGCAAATTATCATCAGTGGTTTACAATTCTTTTATGAGATTAACTAATTGGATAATAATAATTTATATCGAAAGCACACTTACTGAACAGTAAAACAAAATTAAAATCATTTCAATATTTGTCACAGAAAAAAAGTTCTGGCCCACTATAAGAGAGTAAGAAATTGACACTATTTCAGACTTCTAAGGGGTGCCAAATAAAATTAAAGCAACAAAAAATTAAAACGGCAACGGATTTTTATATTTGACACCTAAAAGATCATCCTCAAATTTTTTCATTACAATAAAAAATCATGCAGCGCACTTTTAAATTCATTTTTGGTGTTTTCATTTGGATGACTCCACAGTAAAATATAAAAATGCGCGCAAAGTGCAGGGTGTCAAAGAAGGAAGTTCCAAAATACAGGGTGTTAAAAAATATGCGTATGTATACGTTGGCCTATTAAAGGTGTAGTTCAAGAAAATGAAATGTTGGAATATCTAAATGAA